CTGATTCTTGGCCTGATGACAGACTACTGTACAATCTTGAACTGTACTGAATACTGACACGAAGCCTTTCAGAACTTTGAAAGATCGGCATGCTTGCATGTTGTGAGAAAGCCAAAATGAATGTTTCGCATTAATAGTAACTCAGCATGAAAAACACTGTTTGGCAAGCACGAGTACATTTTTATCATGTACCTGCAAACCCCGGACAGTTTGAACTTCGGCAGAGCCCGAGCGTGACCTTAAGCTCTGTGCTCTGTATGTGCACATGAGTTGCTTTAAATTAGACAGGCTGATTAAGCATGGACTCAGGAGGGTCCACTCATGGCCAAGACTGTACTATGGCAAAGAGCCTACTCTTAAGTATTGGTTGGCAATGATGAAACTTCAGTCCCTAGAATCAGTCTGTACTCTTTTCATGACACTCAAAATAACAACCCGTTCCTCTGAAAGAGCACAGATAAAACAAAACATTCCCTTGCCAAACTTTTACTCACCAAATCTCCCAGGCCACATACTTACAGGCAGTGCGCAATGTCTGTCCGGCAAAGTATGGGGAATTTAAGATTAAAAAATGAAAGAAAAAAAAAACAGTTTAAACAAATAAATGAATGTGTTTTATTCTTTTGCCAAGCTCCCTTACAAGTGAAGCTGACAGCTCATTTCCTCCACTAGGGGATAGCCAAAGAAATGAGGCATTTGATGAGGCAAGACAAATGCCATGCATGCTGGCTGCCTGTCCTGATTACATGAAACATCAGCCATGTTGCTTTTGATCATGCAGTGATGACAGAATAGTAGGGCCAGATTAGCTACTCTCAATACCAATGGTCAGTGGAGGGATCTGGCTCCCTTCTGAGGAGGTGATGTCTGGCACTGGTCACATACCTGCTCATTACTTCTCCTCAGTATCACAGGGCCCTCTAGTGGTCATGGGATGTACAGCTATAGAATATTCATGTTGCAGCATTTCATTGGTGTGTAACTAATTGTGATTTTAACATAAAACCTGACATTGTATGGACAGGAGGAGGTCCTGGAGCTACAGGAACTGGAGCTGTGCCTGCTGGAGGCAAGTCACACACACAACACATCATTAAACCCATTTTCTTATTATATTTACTCTGCACTGCTTTTTAAAAAAGAGAAGTTAAACTTGCCTTAGTTACAGCTTGTGTTTACTTTTGTCATACTGTGATTTCTGCTTCCCAAGTACATTTTTGAGCCCAAATTGGCTCAGGTAGAGTGGAATTGATCTCTCTGACGAGAAGCCAATTTGGGCTCCAAACATAGAACTTTTCCTAATGTAATAAAGTAACAATTTTAAAGAGGGCTGTTAACCGTGTCCTTGGGAGGCAGAAATCACAGTTACAGTTGTTTGGACTCAGCACCTGGACATGAAAGACATGTGAATGTTTTTCACACTTTATATTTGTCATACTCCCCCAATGAGCCAAGTAACATTTTATGTTTTTTCTTTCAGTACCTGTTATTCCTCAAACTGGCCTTCCAGGAGGGGCCGGTGGTGGCGCAGGAAAGAAAGCTGCCAAAGTGCCAGGTTTTGTAGACTCAACAATAAACTCATAAAGCTGAAGGCAGACAGGACGTTGTTCACAAGGCAGCAGAACCACATCCAGTTCCTTTTCCATTGCATGTGGCAGGTGTTCAGTGCCACTGCAAAAAATAAAAGATAATTATTTGTAAAACAAAGATGTTTTACTAAATCTGGGTCTTCATTTTTTACTGTTGGCCCTCTTCATGGGAAATTGTGATACTTTTGTTTAAATCAGCTTCATCTATATTAGTGTACTCAGACTTTCAAACATAAATATTGCTGCTAAACTAAACTCAACCATAGATATATTGCACTTTCAACACTTCATGCAACGTGCTTTACACAGCAAGGGAAAACAACAAAAGAAAGACAGACAAGGAAAAATACAGAATTTGAATTGAAAAATGTATATCATATAAACACAGTATTAATCTAACCTGAGAAAAAGCAGCAACTATTTTGAAATACAGAATGTTCTTATTATATATGTTGTGATTTGTTTTCCTTTGGAAATTTTTTTAAACATCAAAAATTATGTCTATGCTAGTCAAATTTAAAAATCTGGCATCCAACACTCTGACATCTCTTCAATAGATTGATATATAATATAAACAGCAATACAATTCTTAAAATACTTGTGCACTCTTTATAGCTCATAAGAAATTAGACAATTATGTTAAAATTGATGCTTATGTATACTACCAGATACTTTTCATATATTTGAATGTGGATGCAGAAGTGCAGTACTGTCCTCTCTCATTGTCTGTGGCAGGTGTGGGTGTGCCTGGACTTTACCAAGGTGGACTGGTGCCAGGAAAAGGTTTGTCTCTTTCACTGATTAATCTCAGACAGTATTTGTCAAGTGTTTCACCATGTGAATGTTGAAAGTAAGCGCTGTACAGGGATTTAATGTGTTTGTTTTTTTGCGTTCTTATGGCTCCCTCAGGGTTTGGTGGACGCGGAGTTCTACCCGGGGTGGCCACCGGCACCGGCCTGAATCCAAAATCAAGTACGTTTTAGTTTTTTACTCATTGGTGTTGAATTGCTGTCCTCCTCATTGAATGCAATATGGGGAAAAAAGGAGTTCTACAAAGGTTAAACAATACATTACACACTTTACACAATACCTTAATAGAAAATATTACAGATTTCTTCGGTGAAACACATACAAAACAAAAGATAAATGAATAAGTACATGAAATAAAAAAGTAGATCAAGTGCTGGTGATGGTTGTCAAAGAACATTGTATATTCAAAAATGTCACTGGTCTCCGGACCACAATGGTACAGAGGAGTTTAAGTTTCCAGGCCAGTGCTCTGTTTGCTGTGTTTGTTTCATTGCTGTCTAGTATTTACATTCATACAATGATCTTCTCTCATCCATGTGTCTGATTGCATGTTCTGATTTTTCTCATGCAGTCGGAGGGGGAGGACAAGGACCAGGTAACTGTATTTATGATTATCGCTTTATTACAAACAAGTACATTTGTATTTACTGGTATTAGCTGATCAATTTATTTGCTCCAACACAGGAGGCCGGGGGTATGGTGGACCGGTGCAGCCAGGAGTATTCCATGGATACCCCCTCAAATCACCCAAAGTGCAAGGTGAGATCTGAATCCAGACTAACTAACTGTGTTATTTCGAAGTCACATTTTTGTGTTCATATGGGATGATGTTCATAGCGACCATCTGAACTTTGTCAATGTTGGAGTTTTTTTTCTCCAGCACACGGACAGTCTTACTCATCTTATGACCTGATAACTAATGGGCACCTCCATGGGTAGCACCCTAAGGTTTTCTGTGGTGGGTTTATCACTGGTTGATTCTGAAGAGAGAGGTCTGTCTTTGGGGTCACTGAAAAGCCCCACAAGCAGAACATTGCCTGTTTTATAGAAATTCCCTGTGCAATGCTACTTTGCTCCTAGTTCCACAGTGGATAAGGCAATTCAAAATGCTGCTACTAAACTTTGCTGCATTAGAGTATGCTTGCCAACTCTCCCATGTCCATCAGGGTGATTCAAAATACCATTAAAGGAAGGATGACGGATTTAATTTAATTTATTTAAAAAGATCCATTTAAGCGCTCTTTGGAGGGAAGTATGACTTGTATTTCTTTCCAAGTGAATTCTTTTTTTTTCTCCATACTTTTCTCTAGATTTCATCATTTCCCTTATGTAATCACAACTGTAATTACTGAATAAAGATACTATTATAGGTTAAGGGGAGATAATGATGGACCAGACATCTGACCATAGGCTCCAGCCATGAAATATGTTTACAATTGTATCTGGTACACTGAATATTTGTATATGAGAAATACTATTTAAACCTAGTAATCGGTTATTTTTTGAATGAGGCAAAGCAAACTACACAGGTTCAGCACCACTGCAGAAAAGAGGAACATGAATAGACTGTGCTATGGTGTAGGCCATCCACGATTACGTGAGCGGCCTAATCAGTAACACAATGAACACCTGAGACTTTTTGCATCTGCAAAGTGCTACAGATCAAAAAATACATACTGTAGTTTATACAAAAAACACACCAAACTTCAACAGCAGTTCACAAACACACTGAAAAGCATAATGCTCCTGTAGCAATGAACTACATGTCTTAAATCTTAACTTTTACTGGGACTTACTAACTAACCTCTTCATTGGTTGAATGTAGTTGTGAACAATTGCTCATGCATTTAAAAATAATTTGGACTCAGTCGGATCAAATTAATGGCATTCAAAACAATTACACTGCATTTTAAAGTATGGTCATTCTCTCACATAATTAATGTTAGACATGTTATTAACATAGTTGTTGCATTCTGCCGCATCATTTTCTTCAGGTGGCTATGGAGCAAAACCTGGAGGTGGCAAACTTCCCTATGGTACAAATATTTGTTTGCATTTTTACAAAGATTCAGCTTAACTGTGGCATCAGTTGAAATGCAGAGGTTACTGATGTGTCACGTTACAATGTTTCAGGTTATGGGGGCTTTGGTACTGGTGGAGCTGGACTGCCAGGAGGAAAAGGTGGCCCTGGTTCGATACCTGGATATCCTGTTGGAACTGGTGTGTGTTTGTGCAAATCTGCTGTTAACTGATATGAAGTAAAGTGGTGAAAAAGACTAATCATTAGACAAATGCCCAATGTATTTTTACTTTCTGCAGGAGTGGGGCCCGGGGGCATCTCACCTGCTCAGGCTAAAGCTGCCAAATATGGTAGTCTACCATATTCATTACCAAGACAATGTTCCCTATTGTTGCTTTGTTTTCTTATGAAAAACATGTGATGTGTTGTGTTACAGCAGTACTGAACATATTTGTATCTGACTAATATCTGTGCTGTCTGCCCCAGGTTTGGGTGGTCTTGGAGGTGTCGGGGGTCTTGGAGGTGTTGGGGGTGTTGGGGGTGTTGGGGGTGTCGGGGGTGTCGGGGGTGTCGGCGGTATCGGTGGTGTCGGTGGACTGTATCCAGGGCAAGTGCCAGGAGGTAAAATATCTAGCAATATACACAAAAATACTGATATACAGATATGTCACCCTGAATCAAAGACATTGTCAGTGTTTTAGAGCCACACTTGCATAGCTTAAAAAAGTAATTAGAAATACTTTCAATTGCTATTATCTCTGTTTTTTCTATTCTAAATGTAATGTAATGTCTTTGTAAAATATAATATTCCCTATCTTTGAATATTTTACAACAGGATATGGAGCTGGGTCTAAGGCTGCAAAATATGGTGAGAACTTTCATATTTTTGCATATAATGAAAGTATATTTATAATCATATCCTCACACTTTTTTCACATTATCTATTCACTCAACATGTAAGTAAAACTTCTAAAACATATCTAAAGTACTTTATAGTACCTTATGTTGTGTAGAACATCTCTGTTCTGCACACTTGACCTGTTTCTGCTACTGGGGTTCCCTGGACAGGAGTACCAGGGGGAGTACCAGGGGGAGTACCAGGGGGAGTACCAGGTGGGGTACCAGGTGGGGTACCAGGTGGGGTACCAGGGGGAGTACCAGGCGGAGTACCAGGTGGTGCACCCATTGGAGTACCAGGAGGAATTCCAAGTTTACCAGTGGCTGGTGGATATTCACCAGCAGCCAAAGCTGCTAAATATGGTATCATGCATAAATGGCATTATCATATGCACTTTTTTCAGATCAAATGCACATACGTCTTCAGAAGTACAAAACATGTACTCAGTGTGGAGTATTAGCTCTAATTACGGTTTCTCTCTCCCTCCCAGGGACAGGGATAGGAGGTCATCTAGGGGCAGGAGGTCATCTAGGGGCAGGAGGTCAACTAGGGGCAGGAGGACAAGTAGGACCAGGAGGATACTCCCCTGCTGCCAAAGCTGCTAAATATGGTATGGTATATAAATGGAAATATCATATGCACTTTTTTCAACTCAATATTATTCTTACGTTATGAGCTCTAAAATTTGTACATATATACGGCTTCAAAAGTACTAAATACGTACTCAGTGTGGTGTAAGTGTTACCTATAATAATGGTTTCTCTCTCACTCCCAGGAATAGGAGGTCAATTAGGGACAGGAGGTCAATTAGGGACAGGAGGTCAATTAGGGACAGGAGGACTACATGGACCAGGAGGACAAGTAGGACCCGGAGGATACTCTGCTGCTGCCAAAGCTGCTAAATATGGTATGGTAATTTCTTTGGGGATTAGGATCATGTCTAATTATCTGTTTAATTATAAATTATTCAAATGTTTGTTTTGAACAGTTGAAAAAGTCCAACTGAAATTAAATTGTGTAATTTGTTTCTGCTGCCTCATTTTTTTATTATTCTGTTGGAATACCATTAGTTCTCAGTCTATGTTGATTGAGAAATTATCAAGCAAGATCACCGTACTTTAAACAATGTTAGGTTTGTTGCACTTTGGTAGCTGAATGGTTACAGAACATGCCCTGTAACCATGACTTCTGCTGTTTTATGGGGAGCTTTTTCTCTCTGTCTTCCCTCTTTCTACTGCTGACTGTCAAAGTCAGACTGACTGTCAAGAACTGCCAAAAATGACCTTTAAAAAATACATATTGGACAAACTTGTTTTCCCACAGGAGTAGGGGGACTGGGAGGAACGGGAGGACTGGGAGGAACAGGAGCACTGGGAGGTGGAGGATACCCTGCTGCTGCTGCTGCCGCTGCCGCTGCTGCTGCCAAAGCAGCTAAATACGGTAATAATGGAATACTATGATCAAATCTCAGAACTTGTTGTATGGTTCCTGCAAGTGGATCTGGGTTCTTAGCAGCAGAGCCCAGTGATATGTGTTGCACTTTGGTAGCTGAATAGTTACAGCACATGCTCTGTAACCACTATGGTTGCTGTTTGATTCCACCAGGGGACCTTTTTTCTCTCTCCCTCATGTTTCCTGTCTGCCTCTCAAACACTTCCTGTCAAAGGCAAGAACTGCCAAAAATACACAAAAAACATATCAGATAAACTTGTTTTCCACAGGAGTAGGGGGGCTAGGAGGAACAGGAGGATTGGGAGGAACAGGAGGACTGGGAGGGACAGGAGGACTGGGAGGTGGAGGATACCCTGCTGCTGCTGCTGCTGCCGCTGCCAAAGCAGCTAAATACGGTAATAATTGAATTCTATTGTCAAATCTCAGAACTTGTCGTGTGGTTCCTGTTAGTGGATCTGGATTCTTAGCAGCAGAGCCCAGTGATATGTGGAGTAGAGAATAACAAGATATGCCATTAACAAGCCTGAAAGAGTCTGAGATTAAATACCAAGGGGTTAAGATCACAAGTAATAGTGTGTGTGTTGTATGGTATGGTTACAGTCTTGACAATGCTCCAACCATGTCCTCCAGTGCTCACCATTACAACTTAAATGCAGCCTACTTGATAACACTTTCAGATGTAAAGCCAGTGAAATGGAAGTGATACATCTGTTTATGTAGAACATGAACAGGAGGAGGCTCACTTCAGCTGCAGGGGCTATTTTTAGTACAAACTGTGGCAATTTCAAGGTCTGCTCAGGGAAAAAAAAGGCATGTTACTTGATCTGAATTGCTCTCCATACTCTAAGTTTAATTACAAGCAAAAATTACCATATTAAACCATATCACCAGCTTTAAGTTAGAATAAACTTATCTTCACAGGAGTAGGGGGACTAGGAGGCACAGAAGGACTAGGAGGAACAGGAGGACTGGGAGGAGGAGGATACCCTGCTGCTGCTGCTGCTGCCGCTGCCAAAGCAGCTAAATACGGTAATAATGGAATACTATTGTCAAATCTCAGAACTTGTTGTGTGGTTCCTGTGAGTGGATCTGGATTCTTAGCAGCAGAGCCCAGTGATATGTGGAGTAGAGAATACCCAGATATGCCATTAACGAAGCCTGAAAGAGTCTGAGATTAAATGCCGAGGGGTTAAGATCACAAGTAATAGTGTGTGTGTTGTATGGTATGGTTACAGTCTTGACAATGCTCCAACCATGTCCTCCAGTGCTCACCATTACAACTTAAATGCAGCCTACTTGATAACACTTTCAGATGTAAAGCCAGTGAAATGGAAGTGATACATCTGTTTATGTAGAACATGAACAGGAGGAGGCTCACTTCAGCTGCAGGGGCTGTTTTTAATACAAACTGTGGCAATTTCAAGATCTGCTCAAGGAAAAAAGAGCATGTTACTTGATCTGAATTGCTGTCAATACTCTAAGTTTAATTACAAGCAAAAATTACCATATTAAACCATATCACCAGCTTTAAGTTAGAATAAACTTGTCTTCACAGGAGTAGGGGGACTAGGAGGCACAGCAGGACTAGGTGGAACAGGAGGACTTGGAGGAACAGGAGGACTGGGAGGTGGGGGATACCCTGCTGCTGCTGCTGCTGCCAAAGCAGCTAAATACGGTAAAAATTGAATACTATTGTCAAATCTCAGGACTTGTCGTGTGGTTCCTGTGTAGAGCCCAGTGATATGTGGAGCAGAGAATACGAAAGTATGCCATGAACGAAGCCTGAAAGAGTCTGAGATTAAATACCGGGGTTAAGATCACAAGTAGTAGTGTGGCTGTTGTATCGTTTATTTTACAGTTTTGACATTGCTACCAGGAGCTACAGTCTTGACAATGCTCCAACCATGCCCTCTGGTACTCACCATTACAACTTAAATGCAGCCTACTTGATAACACTTTCAGATGTAAAGCCAGTGAAATGGAAGTGATACATCTGTTTATGTAGAACATGAACAGGAGGAGGCTCACTTCAGCTGCAGGGGCTGTTTTTAGTACAAACTGTGGCAATTTCAAGGTCTGCTCAAGGAAAAAAGAGCATGTTACTTGATCTGAATCGCTCTCAATACTCTAAGTTTAATTACCTGCAAAAATTACCATATTAAACCATATCAACAGCTTTAACCTGGAATAAATTTGTCTTCACAGGAGTAGGGGGACTAGGAGGCACAGCAGGACTAGGAGGAACAGGTGGACTGGGAGGAACAGGCGGACTGGGAGGTGGGGGATACCCTGCTGCTGCTGCTGCTGCTGCTAAAGCTGCTAAATATGGTAACTACAATTAAAACTCTGGAAAGGACAATGGAACCAAACATTGCACTTAAAACAATTGCAAATAGTGTTTTAAGTGAATGTACATGATTACATGATACATTTTTACATTAAAGGCCCAGGTGGTGCAGGAGGAATTCCAAATGGTGGTGGCGGGGGAGGAGTCCCATTTTTACCAGGATATGGATGTAAGCGTCCCCCACAAACTTTTTAATCTACATGAGTAGTGAGAGAATTATTTTATTACTTTTTAATCTAACTTTTTCTGGACATGTGTTGCAGCTTTGGCGGCAGGTGCCAAACCTCCTAAATATGGTAAGACTGTGATTTATTATTCCATATAGTGTATTGATTAACACTCTATAAGATGTAGGCTGACTTATTGCTCCTATGCTGTGCTGATCTGTGCAATATTTTTTTATGTACAACATGCTACTAGACAAAAAAAAATGTTGCACACAAAAGTTTTATAATTTAGTAATCTTTCATTCATAAGGTTCAATCTTAATTCTCCCCAACAGGAGTCCCAGGAGCAGGCCAAGGAGGAGTTCCAGGAGGAGCCGGTCAGATACTACCTGGTGGTGGCGGCTATGGTGGTGAGATTTTAAAATGATATAGCAGTGGAGACAAAAAGAGTTTGTTCAATGCAAGTGTCTCTGCTGTTTCCTTTATGATAATTCAATATGATCTGATGAATTTTCAGTCACAGACATTATGTCACTTCCTGACAGGTTACGGAGCTGGTGCTGGAGTCAAACCTCCAAAGTATGGTGAGATGTTTTCTTGTTTTTGAGATTATTTTTACATTTTTTGACTAATATGAAGAATCATCTGAATCATTTTTATACTTTGTGGACCATAAACTGTTTCATCACTAATTTTGTGGATTTGAATTTAAATTTTTTAGCAGCAGTGGTTAGAGTGTATGTGTAAATGTAGTATTTAATTAAAGTAGTTTGAGTAGGACAAGGGCCTAGTGCAGGATTGGGACTAGGGGAACAGGAGGAGCAGGAGGAGTAGGAGGAGTATCTGGGGTACTAACTGGAGGAGGGGATACTTCGCTACTGTAGATGCTGATAAATATGGCAGCAGGAATAAGATTCCTCAACAGCCTGGATAGGTGATCTCATTGTTTTGGTTGTTACCCCAAACTCCTGACCATAGCTGAGGGAATGTAGACTGACTGGTAAATCGAAAGCTTAGCCTTCATGCTAGGCTCCCTCTTCCCAATGCAGCACCAGCCTCCTGTCGATCTCATGCTCAATCTTATCCTCATTCGTGAATAAGATTACAAGGTGCTTCGACTCCTTTGCTTCTGGTAGTGACTCAACCTAAAGGGAGCAATCCACCTCTTTCCTCTCATCATGGCCTTTGACTTGCATCTATTGACAATTTTTCCCACCACTTCATACTTGACTCCAAAGACACACATGACCTGAAAAAGCCAGAACCACCTCAAAAAGCAGAGATGCAGTCTCTTATTATATCTTATTTCTAGTGCAAGTTATTCCTCATTACCCTGGGACCAGCATGCCAGGCCTCTGCCTTCATCGACCATCCAACTTGCCCTCACATCTTACATACCAAGTGTGGGCCTCATGGCAGTAGCCTGATGTCTCCCTTTGGGCTGAGCCTGACTGAGCCCCACGCTCACTGCCTGGGGCTTGCACCAGGAGTGCGCCCCGGTCTCCCTATTCCGGGCACAGGGAACTCTGTCACAAAGAGTTTTGGCATTGCTCTTATTCAGACCCTCACCTGAATTAGTTCTGTGTCGTCAGAACAATTTGCCTCGAGTGACTGTATCAGGAGTTATTGTCAATGCAGCCCAAAATGACATCCAACAATTATACAGAGGTCAGACAAGAGGTCAAGTGTCCAGAAGTCCACAATAGAGTCTGTAGTAGGGTAGAAGTTTGTATTCTTCTGTATTGTAATGCAGCAGATAACAGTGGCATCAATTTGCTGACCTCTTGTGTGCCTCTCGCAGGAGGCATCACTGGAGTAGGACTTGCTGTGCCAGGAGCTACTCCAGGTACAGGCGTCAGTGGCGTTCCAGATGGTTCTGTTGTTGTGTTACCAGGTGGTACAGGTGTTCCTGGAAAACCAGGTGAAGTGTTAGAATACAGTTTCATATATTTTTAGATGAGTCTTTTTTATAAGTTGTGCATTGTTGATGATCTTTTCATTGCTTTCACAGCAGAGGTTCAAATTCCCTATGGAACTCCTCAACCAGGTACAGTCTATGTATGTTTTGCAGTTTTTTCTTTTGCAGTAGCTATGTATAGCATATGGGAGGATGATTTTACTGCCAAAACCTTAAAGGATATATGTACAGTATTTATTTATTTATTCTTTAACCATGAGAGGCTCATCCAGACTCCTTCAGCAAACCCCTTGCAGCACTTTAAACAACAGACTGACAGCTAACCCGCTGCAGCATCCACTTATATTTGGCAATGGCACTCTACCTTGGAGTCACTGCACCAGTACTGTGCCATCATTTATCCCCTCTACATTTTCTTCACCCATTTCTGCCCACAAAACTCACATGTTGTTTCTAAATCGAGTGCTACCAGCTATTGACCACCTCCAGCTTACAGCCTCCCAGCTGTGGGAGTATCAAGGTGCCCCTTACAGCTTCTGCCTTGTCTGGTCTCTCTCACTCTGCGGCTGTTTTAAAGCAAAGTGGATGAAATTGCGACCTGTTGTCTTTTGCCAGAGTCTACACCTATTGCCGCAACTGGCAAGGCCCCAGAGGTCCCGCAGCCCAGTAAGACTTGCTGTTTGCATGAAACCTTTGACCATGAAGTTAAATCTGTGGTATTTGAGATATATCAAAATTGCAGTGGAGCTGTAATGTATTTTCTACTCTGATGTAGTATGGGACAGTCCACTCAGTATTTGTGCATGTGATTATTTCCTGTCCCAAAAGAGACATTTAAGAACCTTTGTTTATTCCAAGTGTTTTGAATTTCTACATCAGGGTTTTAAACAGCAAAACACTGATGCAAATTTTCATCTTTGTCTAAATCTAAGTCTTTATGTATTTAATTATGCAATATGGGAATATACTCATAATTTAAATGGCTAGAAATTACATCTTGGAATTGAAATTTTCTGATTTAATGGGAATTGTCCATCTTCTCGAATACTGTTTGGAACAACCATAGAAAACTGTCTTCAGTATACATTCATTATTTTTACAACTATTCTCCAGTTTTGGGCCTGTAAAGACAGGCAGTAGTCAGTGTTTTCTTTCAGCATTACACAAGATATAATACATGATATTGCCATTTTTTGGCCACTGGCATTGTGTAGTCAGGATACAAGAATATTTACACATGACAGCTGTGCTTCAGACATAATGTTTAGACGATAGGCTTCATGTAATGCTGAGAGAGGAGTTGATTTAGCCTGCCTGGCCCCTACAACTCCCCCAATACTACAGTATGTCAGTAGTGGCCACAGGTTGTTTCTTTTTCTCAACAGTACTTGTCTTGTGCGCTCCTCTCCTTTTCACTAACAGCTCACTGTGCTTCATTACTTTTCATCATATCATAGCTGTAATTTTTTGGATAATGGCAAACCTAGTTTACTTATTGAGAAGACATTCAGAAAGTGGTGTTAGATTAATGCTGGAACTTTGCTTGCTCTTAGAGATTTGTTTTTGACAATATGAATGCTTGCATTTATAGTGCATTAGTTCTACAGTGGGGGATTTCTGTGATATTTATAGAGTTTAAATGTCATAAAACTGTTGACATCAAAGTCACATGGTAATGTTATGTATTATCTAAACTTTTTATAATTATATATATCAAATGAAGTGCAAAGCCCCTGCTATAGAATATTACCTTTCAGTAGATTGTTGTTTTGTATGTCTGCTGTCTTGACACAATTTTCTTGTCATTTTAAATGTCTGTTTTATATTATTTTGAAAGGTGTATGTCTTGCCCTCAGTCCCTGTTTGTTATTCCTCCTATCTAGAGCAACTATATATTTCATTGTTATTAATATAATCAGACAAAATCATTGACATTCAATATTTTAAAAGACATTTTGACTAATGTGACTTTCTATTTATTTATTCTTTTTTGCACTTCGTCTTCTTGTGGTGGATGTGTGAAAACAGGCGGTGGGTTCAGATTAAGTGCATACATTTGCAGCTACTTTATTTCATCCTGTAGTATGTCTTAACTTGTTCTCATGTACTTTTATTCCTGCCTGATTTTATACAGTTGGTGGTGGAATTATTCAGCCTAGTGGTGAGTAGTACATATGAGATTATATTTAATTAATACTATACTATGACAATAGAGTAAACTGTATATACACTGACTGTAGATAGCTTACATGATGGTACTTTTTTTTTTGTTTCACAGCTGGCACAAGTGTTGGTAAATATGTGAAAAAAATGTATCTCAATCGCATGTTGAAATATGCCAAAGAATACTCAACAATTTATTATTTAGATACGTAACAAAACTCTAAGAGCCTTGTATTTATATGTTACAGGTGGAGCAGGTGTTGGACCGTCTCACGGTGGTAAGAGCAGTCTTGTTGATTTATTTATTTATCTATTCATTTGCATGTGTACTAATTATGTGCAATTAATCAGTTCACAATATTCTGCTGTATTTGTACCAGATGTCATATTTGTATCGGATGTTAATGGATGTAACGTCTGCCTGTGTTTTTAGTTGGTGCCACAGGACAAGGACAGCCTGGTAAGCGTAAACAACCTCCGTTTGTGTCTGTGGTCAAATTGGCTCTTAGCACTGTTCCTCTAAATGTGCTGCTTTGGCCTTTTAAAGTGTAAGAAATCTGAATTATGATGATAAAAATGAAAGTTACTAAGCCCACAAGGAGACCAGTAATATATAACACATAGAAGAGTAAGGTTTCACCATGATGACACACTCATTGTTTACCTGGTCATGTGACTTTCATAGTTCAAAGAAAGCAAAATTAACAGATCTAAATGAATTATTTCACCAAACAAATATATGATATATAGTTATATATCATGCAGCCACTAGGTAAACCATCCTTTAGTGTTAATGCTGTATATACAGTATTTGATTTCATATTTGGGTGCATTATTATTATTATTTTCTGATCTCCTTGCTTCTGACATCATAAGATTTTTTCTGTGGATGAGCTCTGCTCTGTTTCCCACAGTTTAAATTGTTTCACTCTCTGTGTTGTATGTTTTCTGTCTTCTTGCTCATTTGCATTAATTTTTAGCCCATTTACAATAGGGAATGTTAGACTGGACACGCTTTAACTCTCTTCTCTCATTTAGTTGCAACTGGAGTCCAACAACCTGGAGGTAGGCCAGTTTACTGTTATTTATTCAGGAACTCTATGTTGTTCTTTTTAGCCTTGAGGTACAATTCATCCTGCTGGCCACATGGTGGAGACAAAGACAAATACAACTACTATAGTTGTTTGTCTAGCTGCAACAGCCTATGACTATGATAACTCTAAACACTGCTGTTTTCAGGTGTTGGTGTTGGCACAGGTGTCAAAGCACCTAAACCATTTGTACCAGGTATGAATATAAATGATTAATATTTACTTTTTAAAGACAACAAACTCTTCCTCATTCTGTTAAATCTTGTTACTGCAAAAAAGTGATTTATTTGTACTGTTTTGTGTTAAATTTGGCAACATAACATCTCCTGCTTGTGAACCTGCTTCATTCAGTTGATCTTGCACATTCCTTTGCCATAAAACCAACGTTAAATAAATTGTATATATACACCAGGTACTGATAATGCATAAAGGTAATTTCTACATGCAACCCCAACTGTATGATGCAGTTAAATGACTGAATGCTTATTTCAGTCCTCCTGCAAAGCCTTGTCATTTCATAATCAAAACACCCTAATGACGTTATCATATACCAAAACACTTTTTATTCAAATTCTATTCAATGTTATAGATCGTTCTCAGGCTGTATTTACTGTACTTACCATCCACATTTTGTCTAGACAGTGAATGGCTCAGCTTTAATCAATAAAGCCAGCAGTTAATACATGAGGAAAAGCTGCATCAGACATTTCTTCACCCAATTATCCCACCCATGGACTGAACACTCATCAGTTTTGTGCATCTGTGGGTTCGCAGTTTTAGTGCATTTTTGCTGTTCTGCGCTATTTTACCTGTGATGGACACGAGACCAAGTCCAAGGTGTTTCTATTGCATTTTATTTAGTCTAACTCAATCAGTCAATCAATCAGTTTGTCATACTGAATGTGGGCTTTGAATGAAAACAACAAACTGGAAATCTATAATTATGATGATAATCATCTATATATATAAAAATCTATATCACATAACCCTTTCAGCTTTCATAAGCAGAATCGGAAGATAGATCAATTGATTTTGTTTCTCTGGTTTTTGCTGAGAACAGAATTCTTTGATTAATCTCAGTTTTCCAAATAATACGTCTAATAATGTATGAAACAATTCATAGGACTAGTTGTTTGCTAATCTTACAATAAGATGTAGCTGGAGAGGATAAAACTAGCATAAATACAAACAGTTTTTTATTCATTTTAATGGAGAATCTTCTGTTTAATCTTCTGAATTCACACCTTCAGTCTTGTAACACTTTAACTCCATAGGTGCAGGAGGATATCCCTATGGTGGAAACTACGGAGGCAAGTTCCCTATGTTTATAATTTTAGCATTTATAGATTTGGTTTAAATTGGAGTGAGTATTACTTCTATCCTTTCTGCGCTTCAGTTCCTTATGGTGCAGGTACCGGCACTGGAACTGGACCTGGAACTCTGCCTGGAGCGAAGCCTCTGAAACCTCCAGGTGTGTGTATGTGTGTGCATTTCTGTTTTAAAACAAACCACCCCATTCTACAGTTTAAACAGAGTCATTTCAAATTGTATATTTATGTTTTTTTGGGGGATGTTTTTAGCTTTTTGCATGAGCAGACTCATATGCTGTTGTTTGTTTGCAGCAGCGGGTGGAACGGGAGGAGTGGGAATCCCACTTGCAGCAGGAGGTTATCAAGGTTAGAAGGCACCTACATTTCATTCAACATGTAAAATTTAGGAAGTTTTGTGAACCCTAAGAACACTAGACATACTGTAAGTGTCAGGTAATAGGGGAAACAAGAGGCATCAAAAGCATAAATACGTTTTGCGTCCCTTTTCAAGAAAAAAAAGATAACTTTTTTCTTTTAAACTGTATTTTTCAATAAGAATCCTTTAATTATTACCATTTCTTCCCTGGGCCTGTCCCCGACAAAAACTGTAGAAGATGAGCTAACCTACTCGACAATAATGCCACTTTTCTCTGTCGTCATAATTCAGGGGGATACAGTCCATATCTTCATGGTTATGGACAGGGTATGTATGAAAGGAGAGGAGGCTGACGGCATTAATACACAATGTTCCCCCAACTTTAAAAAATAACAAGAACGTTCTGCCCAGTGCTCAAAGTGACAGTTGGTCAAGAGATGCCATCGCATTGCACTTCCTGTGCAGGAAATTGGCCAATGTGCTGATAAGTTTCTGTGTGGGGCGTAGGATCAGGAATGAGAAGACAGTTGGATTCTGTGATGAAGAATGTGATGAAGGAAATCAACTGGTCTCTTAGTGGAGGCAGTATTTACAGTCTTTCTGGAGTTTCTTTGTCTGGTTTACAATCCTGAGCAGTTGAGGGTCTTTATCACCTCATCTAAGCCAGTCTTCTGTCTCTTGTGGCAGGTGGGCTGACGTATCCCTCTGCAGTTGGACTGGGAGGTGCTGGTGCTGGTGCTGGAGCTAAAGCACCAAAACCAGGTAATAAAACAGGCCTGTTACTGTTAGAGCATCTGGTAGCACAATGTATATGTGTTTCCAGGGTGTCTGCCGGGCTTGAAAAGCCTTAGAAAGAACTGACTTTAGTTTCTTCACTATAAGGCCTTACAAAAATGTCTTAAATTTCATTTACAAAAATTTGAAATAATTTCTCTTGCTTGCCTTAGGCTGTAATGTTTATAAAAATCTTTTTATATTAACATATCAACTAAAAGAAGGATTGGTTTGACAGTGGATTCTGTGTGCAGGAGGTGGTTTAATCATTTCTTGACAGTTGACACTGTCACTGCTGCTAACTATAGTAGCTAGGACCCTTTTTTTTAAAAAATGGACAGTGTTAATTTTTAGCAAAAACCTGGTCCAGGTTGTCTTAATTTAATTGATTAACCATTAGGAATTATATTCATATGCGAAAGAGGAGAGAAGAATTAGACATGATAATAAATACTTCTAGGTTAATACTTCTAGGTTATATTGTCGTCTAGTTTTCCATCATACCTTCATATTTTGCCCAGTATGACCACAAAGGGGATTAAATTGCATTGTATGTGGTCTTAAAAAGGTCTTAAATACAACTTGGTGAACCCTGCAGACCCTGAGGCAGATGTTGGCAACACTGTATATAAAGATCCAAGTTTTCAGCTCATACTATCTTCCACTCTGCATCCTCCTTTAATATTACTAGAATATTTCCAGTATTGTATTCTATAAACTGTTTTTATTTGTATAGTTAGAAATGAGTTGATGTTTGGCAAAACAGTTTCTTTTATTAATTTAGTAAAATTCATTGTATTGAATGATCGTTTGCAGCATAAACATGTCCAAGAAAGTGGAGTTAGTGGAGTTGGGTTAACAGCAGTAGAATAAAATCGGACCCTCTGGTAGGTATATAGACAGAAATTTTACAAAACCCAGCTACACCAAAATGTCAGTGATCCCTGCAGTGTTACAGCACCGTCAGGAGTTTGTAAATGGAGCAAACAACAACACAACATTTCCCAATGGAGACTGATTACTGTTAGTAATACTGTGTACAACATCAAAGTGTGACTGTTTGAAGATAACACTAACCCCTGGAGAATCCTGCCCTGAAATAGCAAAGCCCTGCCAGGGGAAGTCTGGAAGAGGTTGTTGCCGTGACTTCAGCTGAGCCACTGGCTACATGTCACAATAGAAAGCTGACAACAAGTCATGTTTACTGGACATCACAAGAATACACACTTTCTCATGATTTGTTTATTTGCTTTTTGTCTGAGCAGGCTATGGCAATCTTGGAGGTGGTGGTGGATATCAGCCAGGTGAGGACCTCTGCATGTTCATTAAATATTTTCTGCTTCCTTCTGTTAGAGAAAATAAACAATAGTTGGCTAATATGGCACCTGTTCTGCCTCTGGTCCCGCCTGTCCTCCTCTTCCTCTGTCCATCAGTGAGCGATGAGTGTAATCGCACAGCAGCAGCCTCATCTCACCGCGCCACAGATACTGTTCCAGCCAGTCATAAGAACTCGTGGCCCTAATCCTCCTCCCAGTGGCCACAGACATATCCGTCTGTGTGAAATGCTACTACAGATGGTTTAATAACTTTTATTTGCTGGCATAGTTTTTCCAACAGAGAGACTATAATCATGAAAACTAGGTCAAGTTGTCAAATTCTCTGTATTTACTTTATGTATCGCTCTAAATTACTGGGATGTTTAGTCTATTGAGTTAAGTGTAAACACTGTATGACATTTTATCTCAGTGGGTTTACTTAGTCTCTATGGTAACTGCTTTTTAATTTTACAGGTGTGGGTCGTGTAGCTCCCGGTTATGGCGGAGCTTACCCTCAGCAGTACTACCAAGGTACTTGTACTGCTTCCTGTGCATTACTGTGTGTGTGTGTGGGTGTGTGTGTGTGCACAAAGTAAATGTTTAAACTTTCACTTTCTGATGTGGATTTTGTCAAGTGAATTTCATTTACATAGCCCAATATCACAAATCAGACAGATCTATTTTGTAACACGCTATGTGTTTTTGTTGGGCGGTAACTGGCATTCTGTGTTGTGACCTTTGAGGAGCATCGGTTGTGCAATAAATCAGTGGAAAGGACCCAACAGACAACAGAATAGAGTCATTTATCATAGGGAAGTGGAGGCAAAAGAAGACAATAAAAGGATGATGTGTGTGTGTGTATGTGGGGGGTCTACTTAAAAAGACAATAGAGTGCTGTTTCAGAGATTCACTAGAGTACTGTGTTTATTTCAGTATAGTTAATGAAAAGGTTTTAAAATAATTTCCAGTACATTCATAGTTTGTCATTGTTTTTTCTGCTACTGGAATCCAAACATCAGCCCCAATAAGTTAGCTGACATCCAGACCTGCCTCCACCAACACAAGGATTTAGAGCACAGATGATTCTTTAACTTTTCATCCTTGTCTCTGGATCAGGAGGCGGATTAATGTCCAACTGCCAGCAGCCAGGTAACACAGCTGGACAGATGAAAGGACAGGTTAAACTGACCCGCTGCTTACCCTTCTGGAGCTGAGAGCATAAAGAAAGGGAGAGGGGAACAACTGCATGCTGATAGGAAGTTTCATCTTCCTCGGTTATCACAATCCTTTCATATCTAGTAAAGGATGATGAAATACCACATTGTATAAGAAAATGTCTCTTTATGGCTCATTAGCCCTCTAAGTTTCTTCTCACTCTCCTTCCCTTTATGTTGGACTCCTTCACTTAAACACAATGCAGCTTCTGCACACTTCCACTATAATTCTAGAGGTTGACATACGCGAGAAAGATTATAACCACAATTATTCTCAGGTTAAATTGAAAAGTCCTGAATTTTTGGATATGAATAAATTTAATTTAATCACACATAAAATCCTAATTACACACATTTATTGAATAAATACTTAATGTTCTTGTGGTTTCTTTAAACAAAATATAATTAAGGGCTTTTCATTTTAACTTAAAATTGTTTTTTTCAATTTGTTCATACACATGGGAGGTTGATTTTGTATGAGGGAATTAAATTGTGTTTGAATGACACTCATCTGCATTTTACATCCCTGTGCACCTAATTACAGAGAGATTAATTGGATTACTATAGACAGTGCAGCAAATCAAAATAATATTGATGTTTAATGCAATCTTTCTCCCATTTGCAAAAAATTAGTGAAGAAAATTAGGCTGTGCAGTCTGTGTCAGAGCTGACTATTTATATTTGTGCAGATTTATTGGGCCAAACCAATCTTTCTCTCTACCAAGTTTCAACAAAAGTTATGTGTCTGTATGTTTGAAATGCAAAACGGAAAATACACATTGTCTACATAAAAAATGGTTACTCTGAGCATCTCTGCATCAGACAGCTCCTCACCAGAGTGCTAAGCACTAAGTGCCTCCCATGTGATCATATCCAATGTCAACAGTTTTCTTCTTACCGGATCACGGCCAGAAGAAATACATCAACCACTGTGACAGATCCAGAGTGGTTTCATCTAAGCATTTGTCCACTGGCACCAACTCATCCCTCATTTGTCTTTGTCTTTAATGTTGTCTAGGTGGATATGTACCAGCTCCACTGACTCCTCAACAAGGTAACAAACACCTACCTCCTCACATTTTCCCATGCACTCATTATTAAGGGATAGTAATTTGTTTCAGTAATGCAAACGACCGCTGCACTTCACCTCATTTTGCAAGTCCTCTCTCATAAACTCTGCTCTTTGGCAGAGGTTAGCAACATGTCAGATTATTTGGATGAAGGGTGGAGTGTGAGTTGGTACTGTGTGTGCTTGTGGGTGCAGATGGTGCAGCACAACCAGTATGCTGAATGCGTGATAATCTGCATTTTACTGAACATCTGAGATTAATGCGGGTGGGATTATTTCAAGGAAAGCACGTCTGGTGTCTTAGATAACTACATTTTACTGGTTTAAACTCACGATGTCTGAGTTACTGATGGCCTTGGAGTGTACCTTTAAATATAAAGAAAGTAGATACGTATACACAGAAAATAACAAAATCCAGGCAGTTCATTTCAGTCAGTGCTGATGAAGTTTGATCAGTCTTTCCCCAACTAAAAAGCACAAGTTAGAAAAACTTTCTCTTTGTGATGAATCACAGATTAAGATTCAAAATCATGAGGACTCACTCATTTAGCTTGTTAGCACAGTTGCAATTCATCCTTACTCCACATTACTGCTCAGATATAACAACTTGTATTTGCTTTTTATGACAAACAATAGAAGTTGCCTTGAGCAAATTGTGAACCATGTGATAATTCAGTTTCACATTTTCTCATTACAAATCAAGTCTTTTGTTTGTTTGTTTGTTTGTTTTTTGTTTCACTTTAGTAAACATCAGTGAAGTTTTGTCAAATTACTATTTACAATGTTAAAAAATCAAATTCCAAGAGCAGACTATCCTGGAGCAGATGTACAACACAATATACTTTATATGGATTCTTAAAAAGCCTGATGTTCTCCTTTATGTCTGTATGATTGACACATATACACAATGATTCAGGGCGGCATATTGTTTTATGTTAATTCAATATAATTTTAATGTCATCATTCATTAATATACACATATTGTTATGATAAACAATATTATTTTGTGTGTTAGGATGTTTGTGTTAAGAACCATTCCTGTGCAGAACACATGCAGCTGCCTCTTCTTCATACAAAGGCCTTAATAACAGTATTGAATGTCCACTTAGATTGTGTGAGTTGTTCTGTCATCAATAAATCCATCTGTAATTTCATTTACAGCACCTGTGTTTGGTTCAGTGGTAGTGGACATCATCGGCTCTGCTGTCTTTACTGCTGAATAGAAGCTGTGGTTGAACACCACACGAGCACTAGTCATAAACTTCATTCAGCCATGCAGGAAAAGTCGTAGACTCATTAAACATTTGTTCGCCAGAGGAGCATTTCTGGTTAAAGTAAATAGCTAATTTTGTTTCTGTTCTTTTGCAGCCAAAGCAGCCAAGTATGGTCCACTACAGGGCTTCCTCGGTGGTGCAGGAGGAGGAGGGGTCTACAGAGGTAAAAGACTTTCAGACTTTATGTTCTTATGTATACAGATTATTTATAGATGAATCATAAAATTCCAAGCAGTTGTTGTGTAAAGGTGCAGCAGTGTCAATGCTAACAAACAGTATTCGGCACATGTGTGAACCAGCTGATGCTGAGCAAAGACTAAACTGTAATTCTGGTGATCTTTGCTGCAGGTGGAGCCGCAGGATGCCAGGGCAAATACTGCGGGAGGAGGAAGTAGAGGATCTCTTGAGATCCAGTGTGACCTCAAGAAACTATGGTGCTACTGCATGATGGAGAATGTACATTTTATATGCAAACAAACCAACATTAGACAATGTGCAAAGATGTTTTTTTACTGACTTGACTTTAACATCTGTTTTTATACGAACCCACCGACCCAGAGTTTTGTACACGTTCTGATGTGACGTATGTTACTGATAGTGCCTTTAGTCATTAACGTGGTCAAGTTAATTTGCTTTAACTCCCCATACTGCACCAGCCTAGTTAAAACACCAAGTGTTTGTTTGTGTCAGCATATATTGCAGTGTGTGTGTGTGTGTGTGTGTGTGTGTGTGTGCGTGTGTGTGTGTGCGTGTGCGTGCGTGTGTGTGTGCGTGCGTGTGTGTGCGTGCGTGCTGTGTGTGTGTGTGTTGTTTTGGCATATGGTTGTACTGTTGTGCGAAAGACTGTCTGAACCATTGGCTGCCGTTGTGACCTAATGAATGATTTCCCTTTCGGTTTGAATCCTAAAGTGAGGTGATCTGTCCTTAGTATTACAGCCCACACTGTCACACCTCGCTGTGCAGATCTCTTCTCTGACATGTCAGAGGGGCTAGGTTGGTCCAGGCTCGTCCAAAAACTGATGAAATCTAGCCAATCTCAGCATCGTTTTTGGCTCCCCGTCTTCTTAGCTGCTATTTTTAGGCCTGTTGGGTATAAAGCAGCAGGAATCGGGGCTCCGGCCAACCCATCTGCTCTCAGTAACTTTGCTGATTCTTGTTGCTATGCAGTTCAGTCTCCTCAGCATTTTTTATCCTGCCAAACTTGTGATGTATGAAGAGCAGCTCCTGCTCTGAGGGACAGTATGCTGAAGACAATCAAAAAAACGTTTCATTCCTTAATGTTTAAAAACCACAAGAAAGCAGTGTTTCCTTTTAGTTCCAAGTAGAATAAAACATCATTCAGATCCTACTCTGGCATGTACATTATGTATGTATGAATGTTTAATTATGTGTCACTGTCCTAAAGTCTGGGATAGAGCGCTTTAGTCTGCTTCAAATGTTTAGTCTCATCGCAGCAATTATTTACATTTATGTCATTACATGATTATCCAAGATTTTTTGCACCATGCTTTGACTCATAGCTTTATTGTTATCAGGAATGTGTGAACATAAAACAAGAACAATCCTTTGCTTTTGCATTTATTCACTGTTAAGAATTGTAACACAGAGTAAGACTTTGTTCAATGGAAGAGCCTGCAGTATGAGTTTATGTGAGGCACATGCTCCCATTGTTCTTCATTTACTTGAGCTGCTTTTAAAAAGGCTTTACTGACCAAAGGTTCATGAGCGCTGTTGCCAAGTGACCCCATCTCTTTCTGTAATTGTGTACTGTATTTTGTACTAATTTGATGCTAGCCAGCTTCAGTTCCTTCACTCGGTGCTGTGTAACAACTGTCTTTGAGCCTCACTAGGTCAGACCTTGTCTTATGTGCCGTGGGATACTCTTCATCTTTATTTAAAACTGTTTTTATAAGGAGGAACAGTGTGGTTTTGCACTTTTTATATTTCCATGACACACGTGATTTGTTCCTAGATATCCCGGCATTTTATTTGCTTCATTAGATAACAAAATAAAATGTGTTTAAAGATCTTCTGTCTTCTGATTTGTTTTTTTCTCTCTATCTTAATGCGTTACAAAGCAGCAGCAGCAGCTTGACCTGAGAGTTGATCAAAACCACCTGGCCTGCTGGTGGATCAGTTTGCTGTAAACCACATACCACATAGCAATAATATCCTGGCTTCAGGTCCTGCCTGTTCTGGACCTCTGAGACATCTTCTTCTTTCCAGTCTCTCCCACTGGGCAAAATGAATCAGGACCCATCAGATTTTCTAAATCTGACTTTTTCCTTGTGATGAAAACAAACCCTAGATGAGGGGTGGACATTTTGCCAGTGTCTCAGTACACTGTCTATAAACTCCTGTTCCTGTTCTTGTTGTGCCAGCTGGAAATAATGAACTCATGCTGCTGTTCTCTGGAGATCTCCTGGGAGAACCAGTGACCCATGATCCACATCCTGTAAAAGTAGCTTACACTGTTGTTCCATCAGCAGAAGCTTCAGTCTTATAATGTCCCGCTCATAGGTCCCGCTTCAGGAATGCCAGTGTCACTATAGAGCTGCAGGACGATGCTACAAAACTAATCTACAAACCCCTGTATCACAGGAATATTTTAACTCAGTCATACCAAAGGCACTAGAAAGTAACTTGGGGCCAAATTAGGGAAAATGGAGACAAAGTTTTGGGACTGTTTGAGGTGTGTTAGATTTAAATGTAGTTGTTGATTTCCAAGGTAATTTTGTTGGGGGAAAATGTTCCATTTAAATCCTATGTATTTATTCACGATTCATTCAATATGAGAAACTTTAGTCTCCAGTAAAAATTGAATTTTATGTTGGCTTGTGGACAAATTCAGCATTATTGCATCTTCAGTTGGCCTAATTTGCAGTTACTAAAAGACTTAACTTACACTTTATTTTTTAAATTTAACTGCTGTTAGTCTTTACACATCAAGTGACACTTCAACTGCTTAAAATTCATGCACTTGAACTGTACTACTTTTACCACATACACATCATCTGACATTTCAATTACTTAAGTTTTGATTTGTGTCTGCATTACAAATCTCTTCGTCACCCTATTTTCACTCAGCAAACAACAAAGCCGCATCACAGCCAACATCTGGTGCGGAGTGGGACAGACCGTCCAGCTGACCAAATCATTATCTCATGGTTGGGCTGTGTCTGATAAAATCAGCATGAATCCAGGATAATGACAACAGGTCTGCTGGGTATTTGGCAATCATAGTGAAAGTTATAGATGACTAAAACTTATTTTTTCAAGCACACAGACCCTGAACTTCACTGGGCTAGCATGGGTCTGTTTCCCCTGTACACTCACTTTACACACCCTGGAGGTCATTTTGAAAAAGCTCTGTTTTCTGGGACAGAAACTCTGTTTTTGCCTTTTGGACAGGGTCTAAAATTGAGAGAAAAAGATGCTTAGAGAAGTTTATAGAAGCTATTTGTAAGTTCTGACATTGCTACATAGCCAGCATTAGCATTAGCAGCCATTTACTTATCAGTCTTGGCAAGAGCTTCAGCTATCCTTGGTTTTACATGAGGTTGCTACAGTGACTCAGTATCGGAAAGTGGCAAGACAGTCCGACTGGACCGGAGCAGGCTGGTTAGCATGCTAACTTCAGTAGAAGAGAAGAAGTGATTGAGAAAGAAGCTAGACAAGATGGTTGCTTTCCACCTCTGGACACAGCTCTTGGCGAGTAAAGGCATGAAGTTTGATGCTGAACTCGCAGATTTTCTTCTAGTCTGGTAGGTAAACAGCTGCTAATGTTGGCTAGGTAGCAATAGCAAAACTTATAAATAGCTCCTTTAACCAATTTCATGTGGACATACTCTTACATTTCAACTGTTTCTACCACTCACAAATCAACTAACTTGGGTTCACGTCAACTGACCATACTCTGACACTTCAACTGCTTTCAGCTCTTACACTCCAACTACAATTTGACCCTCATTTACCTCCTACCTTTTAATGAGAGTTCATGTTTTCAGTGACTACACTTCAATTAACACTCCAGTTGCTTTCAGCACTTCCCACTTTCACTGACACTTCAAATCCTTTCAGTTTTTCAACTGGCACTTCAGTGTGTCTGTGTTCTTCAAATTCAAAACGTTTTTAAAATGTTGCAAAAGATTAAGAGACTCAGCTGTAATAAGTGACTGTCAGTATTATTTAGCCTTTTCTTCATTACCAAACCCACATCAGAGTTTACTGCACTGCACTATCTTCCTCCTGATTCCTCCTCCTCCCCCTCCACACAAGATGCATAATTATCCAGGGAGTGTCGCTGGTTGGTCGGTCTGTGTCTTCCTCTTCCCGGCTTAGCAGCTTTATTGGTCAGTAGCGCTCTTGAATGAAGCGCCGCAGAAACGTGCAGGCAGCAGGCAGGAGGAAGCTGTGTGGGCCGCCGCAGGGAGAAACCAACGCACAGCGACAAGAACGGCGGGCGGGCGGGCTGCGGTGGTGGTCGGACACCGGTTATCTGACGACCAGAGGCGGCTGGCTCTCTCCCGGAGAGTGAATGAGGTTGATGCTGCTCTGCTGCACGTGGAAGGACGAACGCATGGGAGAGGAGGAAGGTGAGAAGCCGCGGGGATGTTTACAGCCGCTCGGTGCGTGCGGCCGCGGGGCGGGAGGTGCGGACACAGCAACGCATCTTCTGCTGCTCAAAACACAGATGATGCTCCACCGAAACTGGCAGCAAACAAAAAATGCTTTGTACTATTTTCCTCACTTTGAGTGTCGTTTGTTGTCGGCGAGAAACAGATGAGGGTGTAGCACTGGTGTATCTGCAGGGAGCGTCAGGCTGCTATGTCCTTATTGTGCTGCCATGTTTTCTCTCCGACTGGATGCACCCATCATGTTTGTATGCAGTGTTCACCCTCAGGCCACGCACACTCTTCATTTGCAAGCAGTCTTATAAGACAGCTAAAAATATTCAGCTGATGAACAGGTTGTCACATTAATGAAATGAAATGAGGACTTTTTGGGGTGATTAATGCAAAAATTACAACACAGGAGCAGCTTAAAGTTATAGTATTGCCTAACAAAACATAAAGGTCTTACAAAGTTGAAATTAAATAATCAACATATTAGGGACTTTTTCCTGATGTGGAGCATCTCATTTAATTGTTCAAAGACTAAAAACTGCCCAGAACCTCCTGGTGTGTGACAGGTAGATATTTAATAGTGAAAATCAAAACATGATGACATTTTTTATTTCACCTTATTGTAATTTGTTAAGATTATTAAATGGAGAACAGTGATTCTTACTTTACTTACTTTAGAACAGCGATTCCCATCAGAAGGGTTGGGACTCTTCTGTACATGGAGATAAATTTGAAGGGTTGCCAGATGATTTACAGAAGAGGAAAGCCAAAGAATATATGATATGAATGCAAATACTTCCCTGTAATCTTTACCTTTTTAGATTACTAACAATTTTTTCTCATAGAACAAAGGGGAAAAAAACCTGGGAACTGCTCAAGAAGAGGCATTGGTCAAATACACTTTGCCTCATCATTGATATTTTGCTTAATTTCTGCCTTAAGATGGGATGTTGTGTAAGTTTGGAGTGCTGTGCATGAGAGCCTCTACACTGTGACTGTACTGTAGCTGCCAGTCAGGTTCACTGAACTTAACAATAGACCTTTTATGTGATGACTCACTTTGCAATACAGTGAGTTTACTGTAGCTCATGTGAAGGAAGAACTGCTTCAAGGGACTGCATTTGTGTGAGCTGGTGATACTGTATAATGCAGGTGTATTGTTTACCTTTACTGAGGTATTTATGACTCTGAGACCTTTGCAGACAGCAGAGGTTAAGAGGACACAGCTGTCAGGGAGAGAAATGCTCCAGAGATGAGATGGAAAAATATTAATTGATAAAGAAATGAGGTGAAATGAGGCATTGGCACAAATTAGACCTGCCTCTCAGCCGATCTGATCAACAAATCTACTATACAGAAGAGAGTCGTTCGCTGGATCACAGGAATGAGCCGACCACACAAAACCTATGCCAACACATTTTTCAAACTCTTATAGGCAAATGAACAGTAATATCAACTGTATGTAATCTAATGTTTTCTGTTTGCTGCTGCCACCTCATATTTTCTGATGAAACTCTCTGCTGCTTTCTCTTTTTGATGCATTACAGAGTAAATTGTATCATCTCCGCCAAATTGCTTTTTCCTGAAACTCTAATCATAATTAACATTTTCCTCATTAGAGAAGGGGAGGAGGGATTTGTGGGCTGCAGCTAATGACGGTCCTCTCATGGAAACAGTTCTTATCAGAATGTGTTCAAGTCGACGGAGAAATGTATAAAACAATGTCTATATTTTTTTTCCACAAGAAGTTAGAATTGTGTATTTTTACCTTGGTTCATCCAATGTTTGTGTTGTTGGCACTTTGGAGCTTAATTGTTGAATATGAAAGTTTAAAGAAAGGTGTGGAGTGTGCAAGTTAAATTTATTGGTGTTGGTTTATTGTTGCTGTTAGGTGAAGTTTTGTTTCCCTTATTTCACTAAATATTATGATTCGATCTCAAACACTGATGACTTTCCATTAATCAGTGAGATGCAGCAGTTCAGTTACACCCTTGCTGGGTAATGCTCTCAAAGCTGCCTGTCAGCCATCAACAGACGAGGAACAGTTCACTGTTTCATTTTGTCAGTAATGATGAAGGATTGTCAGAGACACTGTGTGTTGTGTGTTTGATATCTGCTCCTCTTTGAGCTTCAGTCGGATTATTAACCAGCGGTGGTGATTTGCATTGAAGGCGAGATGAGGACAGAGAGAACGGCCACATGCAAACACACATCAGCAATTATTCTCATCATAAGAGCAGTAACCTGATTTTATACTTACAGTATTGAGCTGTAAAACCTGAACATGAGTCGTTGTGTACGTACAGGATGACCTTTGACCTGTTGTGTTACTGTTGTTGCAGCTGGAGGAAGTTTGCCCGTCTGTGCGGGATGCAAACAGAGGATCTACGATGAGCAGTACCTGCAGGCCCTCAACACTGACTGGCACACCGTCTGCTTCAGGTACTGTTCAACACAAACTCAATGCACGTCCATCCCCACCATGTTAGCATGGAAATTTATGTGTTCACTGTGTCACTGTCCACCTGGTGAATTTAAGTCCAATGCTCACTCTCTGTCAGCTCTGTTTTTGGTCTCCACCAGCTCCTCAGGGAAATATCTGGCTCTTTAGCTGCTAAATGCTCCACTACGTTCACCGGCTAGTTTCGATATTTTGTACTGAGCAGCTAGTGTACAGTGGGTTTTTAAAGGTTCTTTTAAATCTGAAAGCAGCTGCTACAAGAGCGATGAGTGAACCCAGACAGTTGATTTACAGAGCAGGCAGCAAAACAATGAGCAAAAACTCACTATAAAGCTCTGTAAAGCCGAGGGGT